CTTTGAAACTAAACGTAAACTTTCCGCCCTTATAGAAGCCCTACAATTGACACACATTTGTCGCATACAGACAATCAGTACGAGATATAAGTCATAAGATATAAGAGGTTTAAGCATACATTCGCTTCAATTGAGTTCAATGTCATTGCCATCACATCTGCACAACTCATTGGCATTCAATCACTATTTAAACACCAAATAGTCATCCAAATAGTCATTCAATCAATTGCGAGCATATGATGGCAATCAAACACAAGTCCCTGACATTGACCTCAACTCACGAGTAAATGGTAGATAAAAAAAAGCAAAAATGTGTTCATCGAGCAAATGGTGAATACCTCGTCGGGACAGATGATAATCTTGAAGTTTAAGAGATCGCCGTCTGGATCGGGAACCATAACACAGTTCTTGGGGAGTGTCAGCTCATTGATGTCTGAAATGGAGGCAGAGGCTCATGAGTGAGTGAAGTGGTGGTCAGCTTAGGACCGATTGGTGATACCTTTGGTGATGCGGATCTGTGCGGCGGTATTGCGACCTCTTTGGGAGGACTGATTGTTTTGAGCGGACGACTGGTTTTGTTGGGATTTCAGTGAAAATAATTTAATCATTGCTTCAGATGTACGGATCGATCACTGGATTCACGAGTTATGTGTTTGCGATCGCTATGCAAGCGATGGTTATATCCAATCAATCACTTCTTAGACCTGAAGCCAAGCGCCACTCAAACGACGGCTAAATTGAGACCAAATTGGTGTCAATTCAATGGATTTAATAACGGATTAAATGCTGAATGCATTCAATGTTAACAACAATACAGTAATGAAGTGACAAAAGCAGTGAACGGATTAACGCATTACACAAATCTCTATACAGACTATACGACTGCCATTGAATTCAACACTCAGTTCACGTCTCATTCAATATGCCTTTCATTGTGTTATAAGGGGTTGGGTTTGACTCCAGAAATCATTACGTTATTTGCTTTCAATTGAGTTAAAGGTTTGCCAATCAATATGCATTACAGCTGTTATTGGAAACGAGCAAAAAGTTTTCAATACTTGATTAAAACTCATTGAAAACTAAACTCAATTGAAATGTTTGGACAAATGATTGCATTTCCATAAAATGCATGAGTTTTACAATCAAATATATTTGAATGAATCATAAAAACGAAAATCTTTGAAACAATTTATTTCTTAAGAAGACTTATTCAACAGATGTCACAACAAATGTCTTGAATAAGCGGTTCACATAAGACATGCAATTGAATGGGAAGTGAAGCCAAGGAAACGTATAACAATTACATAACATTACATCGCGGGTCGCGAAATACATATTTACGGACACGTGATATGTGAGCGCATATTACTCGTGATATTGTCTGGCATTTAAATCACGAGTTTTTATTGGTTTTGGACTTTTGGTTGTTTTGCCGACAATTAGTGATAAGAAATGCTGAGATTGTATGCAATCAGTGGTGACTGAGAAGTGATTCACAATCAATCGATCTGTGAAATCCAGACTTGTTGTGAAGCAATGCTTTCAATGCATTCATTGAATAAGTGAATGAGAGTAGTGTTGTATTGAGTCACACTCTCGGCACTAATTCTAATCTAGAATTTTACAGAATATTACACTCGCAACAAATAATTCAAATTAATACAAATATAGGGCAAAAATTTTATTATAACTAATAAAATAAATTAAAAATAATTAAAAATAATTGAATTTATGAGTGAATATGAATGTCGAGTAGATTCAGTGTCAGAATTAGCGATTGGAGAGAGTGTTGAACAGCGAGTGTGTGTGTGGATCAGTGCAACACTAGTGTGTGCTATGATCTCATGCCATCTCACATGTGAACCAATGCTTAACACAAACCCCAATGACTTGACTCTCCATTCAATTTAGTGTTCATTTAATAATTAAATTATATTTCAATTAATTGTCATTTATTTGACTAATCATTGCATTTGACACACGATTTGTGACATTATTTTTATACAACAATTAGTGAGTAATTAGTTGTGAATGAAAGCATTGAATCCATTCATTTGAATAAGAAGTCCATCATTTGGTGTGAAGTTTGTTTGGACGACAAAACAAACACTGATTTTGTTGTCAATTAATAATCAAAACATTTGTTGTATTTATTAATAAGCAATCAATTGATCCCAAGGGCGCAGACATGGAGACCAACAAATTGATTGAATTATTTAAGGGTACAATTGATCCCAATCTTCGCGAGGACGCCGAGAAACACTTGGATCAAGTAATCCATCCATTGATCACTGCATGCCATGTGTTGTAACCATTCGTTTGCTATGTCTTCAGATCTACAAAATCATTGGTTTCGTGCCATCGGTTCTGCGTCTAGTGATGGACAACAGCATCGAAATGCCTGTCCGTCAGGCGTCGGCCATCTATATGAAGAATCAGGTCTCGCAGAACTGGGCCGACAAGACGAGTCCACCGCCCGGACAGTCATCACAACTGGTCTACTCGATCCACGAACAGGACAGGGCTCTCATTAGGGACGCCATTGTGGACGCCATAGTGATGGCACCCGAGCTCTTGAGAGTACATTTGGCCACTTGTGTCAATCATATGGTTAAACACGACTTCCCTTCGCGGTGGACAACAATTGTCGACAAAATAGCCGTTTATTTGCAAACACCGGACCCCAGCGGATGGATGGGCGCACTCGTGGCTCTCTACCAATTGGTCAAGAATTTTGAATACAAGAACAATGAGGACCGGACACCACTGCTGGAAGCGCTCAAACTGTTGGCGCCACTCATGTATCAGCTTTTTGTTAACCTAATGCCAGATCCGAGCGAACAGTCAGTTCTCCTCCAGAAGCAGATTTTGAAGATATTCTATGCGTTAATCCAGTATTCGTTACCATTGAGTCTATTAACTAAAGACGTGTTCACGCAATGGATGGAACTCTTCAGACAAGTGGTGGAGAGGGATGTGCCGAATGAGACCAACAATATAGACATCGATGAGAGGCCTGAGTTGGCCTGGTTTAAGGTGAAGAAGTGGGCCGTCAGGACATTGTCCAGACTTTTCGAGAGGTACGGATCGCCGGGAAATGTGCACAAAGAGTACAAAGGGTTCGCCGACTGGTATATAAAGACATTCTCTCACGGAATCATTCAAGTGATCCTTAAGATTCTTGAGCAATACGGCCATAAGGTGTACGTACCGCCCCGTGTCCTCCAACAAGCGCTCAATTACTTGAATTCTGCGGTGAATCACGCGTTTACGTGGAAACTAATTAAGGCCCACATGTCTGTCATCGTGCAGAACATACTCTTCCCTCTCATGTGTTACACCGATGAAGACGAGGAGCTCTGGACAACTGATCCGCACGAATACATTCGCCTCAAGTTTGATGTGTTTGAAGACTACGTGAGTCCCGTGACGGCCGCCCAAACACTTCTGCACACGTGTTGTAAGAAACGCAAAGATATGTTACAAAAGTCGATGGGTTTTGCGGTTCAAGTGTTGAGTAACACTGCGTCCGACCCGCGTATGAAAGACGGCGCCCTTCATATGGTTGGGTCGGTGGCCGACATTCTGCTGAAAAAGGACTTATACAAGGATCAGATGGAGAATATGGTCGTGGCCTATGTGTTCCCGCAATTCCAGTCACCGCACGGGTACCTGAGGGCCCGTTCGTGTTGGGTTCTGCACCACTTCTATCAGATCACGTACACCAACGATGCGAACCTCTATCAGGCGCTGTCGTACCTCCAGAACTGTCTGCTCACCGATAAGGACCTGCCGGTGAAGGTCCAGTCGGCCATTTCCCTCCAAGACATGATCTCATCGCAGGCCAAAGCACAGCAGATGATTGAACCCAATATCACACAAATAGCACTGGAATTACTGAAAGTGATTCGCGAGACCGAAAGCGAGGAACTGACGAATGTTATGCAGAAAGTCGTCTGCAATTTCAGCGAACAATTGACTCCAATAGCCATTCAAATGACCGAACACTTGGCCATGACTTTCAATCATGTGATTAATCCCGGCGCTGATGAGGACAGTGAGGACAAGGCGTTGACTGCAATGGGTATTCTCAACACAATCGACTCCATCCTGATTATGATGGAGGAGCAGAAGGAGATTATGGCTAAACTCGAGCCCATTGTTCTGCAACTCATTGTCTCGATCTTCAGTCAGGAACTGATGGAACTGTACGAAGAGGTGTTCACTTTGATCGGAACGATCACTTCGAGCACTATATCGCCAAACCTGTGGAAGGTCTTCGAAATGATGTATCAGATCTTCAACAAAGACGGCTTCGATTACTTCACGGATATGATGCCATCGCTGCACAACTTCATAACCGTAGATCCCGACGCCTTTATCGCAAACCCGGCCAACATTTTAGCCATTTTCGAGATGAGTAAAGCGATTATGACGTCCGACACGGCGGGGGAGGAGGTTGAGTGTCATGCGGCCAAACTCCTGGAGTGTATTATATTGCAGTTCAGGGGACGGATAGACACTTGCATTCCATCGTTCGTCGAACTGGCCGTCACTCGGATGACCAAAAAGATAGAGTCCGACGATTTGCGGACAATTTGTCTTCAAGTGGTGATCGCAGCCCTCTTCTACAACACGAGTCTTACGTTTCAGATCTTAGATCAGTTGCAAATCCCGAACTCTAATCAGTCTCTCGTCAACCACTTCATCAGCAAATGGATTGCAGACACGCATTGCTTTCTGGGTCTACACGACCGCAAGATGTGTGTCCTCGGGCTCTGCACTCTTATGGCACTCGACTCCACCAAAAGACCGCAAGCGTTGACCGAAATGGCCAATCAATTAGTGCCATCACTGCTATTGCTTTTCGATGGCCTCCGAGAGGCCTATAAGTCGAAGGCTGTCAACGAATACGAATCGGACTCTGATTCCGATGCCGTCACTGACGACGAGGGCGATGGCGATGACATCGAAGACCTCGAAGATGATGAGGACCACGTCAGAGGTAATGCGAAGTACCGACAGCTGGTTATAGACTTTAGTAAACAGTGTCCCTTTCCTGTCACGTCAGCCAATATGATGGACAGAGAGTCCGATATCGACTCCGAAGAGGAAGACGATGACGACGACGAAGACGACGATGCCTTCGAAATGACTGCTTTGGAGTCCTATACGACTGCCATCGATGCCGACGACACGCCCGACGACGAGTACATCCTATTCCGAGAACTGATCGAAACTATCCAACAGAAGGACCCGAACTGGTATAATGTGTTGATTTCGCCCCTCAATGAACAGCAGCACAAGAATATACAAGAGATCTATACTCTCGCGACCCAAAGGAAAGCCGCGGCCGGTATGTCAGCCCTCTATTGATTTGCTATCTATGACTGCCTTCTTTGGTCTCACTTTTCAATGCAAACGTGTTTTCTATTTGATTGAATAGAGTCGCGACAGATCGAGAAGCGCGGGGGTTATGTGTTTGCGAACGCCAACGTTCCCACGAACTTCAACTTTGGCGGCGCCCCCCTTTCGTAACCGTAGATATTATGATAGAATTAATTATAATCTCTTTTTTAATTTTAGTTCCGAAATCTTATTGAAATGAATATAATTTTGAATCGATTTGACGCTTATTTAGAATAACTATTATATACATACAGTATATTTAATTGCTATGATTTGACAAATGCAGGCCTAATGAAATTTGAAGTTATTTTATTTGCCATTAATTGCTATTAAAATACCATTAATTAAATCTAGTTATATTACTGGACTTATATTTCGCCTTTACTCAACAAATGCTATAAAAATTCATTCAAATTATATTCATTTAAATTACGATTTGTCTTATAACTGAATTTAAATAAATTAAACGATATAAACATTGCAATGAAATTATTTCTATATTTTGTTTCTAATTAAATAAAATTTGTTTTTCAATTCCGGTTATAAATGTTTTGCAAATTAGTTGAAGGTTTGTCTGAAAATTCTTGTGACAAATGAATTACTATTTTAGCGGTTACTCAGAGATGCAAATTACATTATGTAATACTTTGCCATAGACTGCATATTACCGATATATACCGTATATACACCAATAAATGATATCCAGAATATTCTGAGAAAAATCCATTTTTATTCAAACTCGACGCAAATATTCATTACAAGAAAATTTTTATGAATTTTATGTACAAATCGATGAAAGATCACAAGAAAGAAAACAATTCTAATAACACTTCTATAATAAGCCCTTAATTGTGTTTAATATTCATAGAAATTGTTGTTTATCTCAATATTTGTGTTTTAATATTCAATAGTAAGTGAATTGTTTGTGTTATTGTCTTAAGCATCGATCGAAATAAGTGTTGGCTATCTGTCCGCCGCCCATAGCTTTCCGTACATTCGTCTCAAATAATCGTCTATTCGTTTGCAGCACTTCTGCCGCCTCTTTGTTGAGGGGGTCCTCAGGATTGGGCTCCTATTCAGCGCACAAATCAACCATTTATTCATCTATTACTACAGTATATCATTATTAATGATTCATCAATTCATGACTACCCTAATACTAATTACATAATTAGTCATATAATATGTCACTCTATATATGCAATGCTATTCTAGATTAGTTAGATTGCAATTCAATATATCAATTGCAACATAAACGCTACTAAATGATAGCTAACGTAGTCTTAGAAATATCAAACATACAAAAGTGACTCTACATGCAAATTGATGACAATTTTATCTAAATTATCAAATATGCAAATAAACGATATTTATATTGACTTATTTGCAGTTAACAGTAAAGTATACTTAAGTTTCACAATATCTCCATTTTATAACAAAATCAATAAATACTTCAAAACTGACGGTTCAAATCAATATAATTATAGATAATGTTAAGAAACAAATACTCACTAAAAACAGATACTGTAAGCCATAGAAGTTTCACAATATCTCCATTTTATAACAAAATCAATAAATACTTCAAAACTGACGGTTCAAATCAATATAATTATAGATAATGTTAAGAAACAAATACTCACTAAAAACAGATACTGTAAGCCATAGACAATTGAGTTGATGGTGAGAACGGGTTTCCAGTCTTCGCGCAATATATTGAGACACACATTGCCCTCGAGATCAATGTTGGGGTGATATACCCGGGTCTCGCACTTGACTTTTGGTGGTTCGTGGGGATAGTTTTGCGATACTTTGAAACTAAACGTAAACTTTCCGCCCTTATAGAAGCCCTACAATTGACACACATTTGTCGCATACAGACAATCAGTACGAGATATAAGTCATAAGATATAAGAGGTTTAAGCATACATTCGCTT